TTTAAGGTGGCGACTTGATAGCGAATCGTGTATTTGTCATCCCTTGTGCACTCAGAAAGACAGCAATAGGTTCGCCATGTGGTATTTGTATTTGCTGACAATGTCACCTACATTAGGTACACACATCCACTGCTCGCCTGCGCGGCGGCACGCACGTGAGTCTCGCTCAATACTACAGAGGGTTACACGTCAATGTATGTCTGTGGTACTAAGTGTCTGTCTCCCAGGCGTGGATATCATCCAAAGCATACGTCGCTCCTCTGCGACTAAGCCTCTCGGATCGCAGACACGGTGCCCTGGACCTCGCCCTAAACCTTTTCAACACGCTGCGGGATGGTGGTGACGGCAACCTCCTCGAGCTGCTGCACGTGCTGTACCTTCTCCTCAACAACGTCCAGGTCGAGGTGGGCAACCTCTGCGTCCTCGCCGTCGAAGATCTTGGCCACCTCTTCAAGCGTCACGCCGCGCGTTTCGATGAACAGGAAAGCCACGAAGATGACCTCAAAAAGGAGCCAGCCCTGCACAAAGCAGCCAGACGTCAGCAAAATGTATCCCAGCGATCAACTGCATGCTCGATCACAAAGAGGTGGGCTTACACAATAGATTGAGTAGAACCTCCAACGCGGTTGGAGATGCGCGAGGCCGATCGGGTTGATGTACCTAAATTACAATCAGAAAAACCGGATCTCTTTTCATTGGCCGAGTCGACTTACTGGTTAAACACGAGAGCAGCTTGAACGAAAAAGTTCATGAGCATGAGACCCTACCGGCCCACCGTCAGTACAAGTCATTTCCCAGAAGGGTCGTTTGTGGACGTTCTCTCACCTTTGCACGCAGTTTGTACGGCATAATCTCGACTGTGTACCCCACCAGCAAACCGGACCAAGCAATGTTGTAGAAGACACCGTGAAGGAAGATGAAGAAGATGACCGTCTTGCCTGCCGCGAGGTTGCCGTCGAGGTCATATAGAGCCGAGCAGGCCGTCCAGAGGACGAAGCTGACAAACATACCTGTTACGGAGAATTAGCACAAGACAAGACAGCTAGCGTCTCAAAGTTACTGACCCGCAGTCGCAGTCAAGAATAGTGGGCGTCTGCCGAACCGATCAACGACTGCTGCGGCGATGAGGCCGACAATGAGCTATGAGCAGGTCAGCGATCCAGCCACCTTCGAACCGAAAGTGACCTACTGAGAGAATGGTCTTGGATCCGTTGATCTCAAACTGCTCGTTTTTATCTGTCACACCAATGCTCTTCATCACAATGGCAAAGTAATAGCTGGTCAACCCATTGCCGCTCCATTGGGAGAAGAGACCAAGGGCGACGACAAGCAGCAGTCGATAACGGTTGCCCTTGGTCCGCAGGAAATCCAAGAAGCTGCTCGACTTCTTCGACTCGAATTCAAGGCGAAGAGTCTCCCTAATTTCGCGGTACTCGAACTGGACGGTGAGGTCCATCTCGTCCCCATTCGAATGGTACTTTGCCAATGTTGTCAGGGCTTCCGCATGGCGATCCTTGGAGATCAGCCAGCGAGGTGACTCTGGGATGATCCAGATAAAGCAAAAGAGGATGAGTGTTGGGAAAGCTTGAAAGATCGACGGGATGCGCCACGACCAGTTGTTCTTGATGGTAAAAGTGCCAAAGGTGATCCATGTCGCTGCAATGGAGCCAATGTCCCAAAGCTGATTGTAGACTGTCGTCACTCTCCCGCGATGTTGCGGGTGGCACAGTTCAGTCAGAAGGAGAGGAGCCGAGTTGGAGCACATGCTGTTGCCAAATCCAACAAAGAAGCGGCCGGCGATGAACATGGAAAAGTTTTGGGAGGCACTTTGAATAGCGACGCCGGCAAAAAGGAAAACGCAGCCAGCCATGATGGCGATGCGTCGGCCATAGATGTCGCACAGATATGGCCTGACGGTGTGATCAGCGGCAGTCTTCGTTCACAAGAGGTCAACCTACGCAAACGGGAGCCCTGCGAGACTTCCAATGCTATATATCGACCCAAAGAGGCCGAGAATCGACCCAGTGGGATGGTTGAAGTAGTCTTGCCAGACATCGAGGATTTGGAGGCCGTTCAACATCGACCTGGCGAGTGTGAGCAGTGAGACAGAAAGCCTGGACGGGAGACAGACCCGTCATATCCTGTCGTCGCCGAGGCAAAGAACAGCGCAATGGCCATGCCATAGAGCTTCCTCAGACCTGGGTCCTTGTACCAAATGACCCTTCGAAGCGCAGGAGCCTCAGCAATGGCTACTTGTCGCTCCGTCTTGTGCATAGGCTGCACGACCGCGATACCGACCATTTTGAAAGATATGCCCTTTGTGGAGTCTGGAATACTTCAGCAATGGAGTAGAAGACTGCCCAGGTTCCCAGATTTCTGGGGGTCACTTCCACGCCAGCATATATGTCCTCAGTTCGCCATATCGAAATGTACTGCCGAGGGCCTTGGTATAGGCGGGTAGCAAGCAGCACCATGCCGTTCGGCTGTATTATTCGCGATGCCTTTGTCGAATCAGGAGATCGCCAAACTCCATATCCCGGGGGTGATATTGAAAGAGCTGCAGGTACCTCAATTCAGCCTTCTTTAGGCTAATAGGAGAACGCCCTGTCCCAGGTTCGACCATCTCCAACCCGTCGATCACTCCATGGAGTCGTTGTGGGATAGTTTATTACCCCGAACTGGATCCTGGGGTCTGAAGTCAAGCACGCCTCATTCGCTCGTCAACCCAAGCTTGTAAAAGCTTCGGGGGCCAGGCGGTAAGCACAGCGCAGATAGTTGTGTTATTTGCGGTGGAGCTAGTGGCGGAAGATATCGATCCCACCCTGTTGCCATTTTACACGGTCTGATGGTGCAAAGCATATGTTGATACGAGTCAGTCGCGGACGAGCTATTGTGAAGACATTGATTCCGATGTAGCCCCGACGAGATGATTTGGTGAGTTGCTTTGAATATTGACTGTCGATTGCCCAGATGGGAGACTGAAGTGCCAGATCCAGGGTCCATTCTTCCTTTGCAATAATTCGCATTTACAAGATGTCTTGCTTAGTGACTTGGGAGTATGACTGGTTGTTTGCTCTCGATGACCTCTGGCAGACTCAAAAGGGAATTTCTAACCCATTTTCTTGGGAGTTCAGCTCCTTTCGCCTCCCACGAGGATATCAAGAGACCCCGCAACAGATATGTCGTGTCAAAACTGCCACAAATGCCCCGCTGCCGGGTAGGTCCTCGCACCCGTGGGCCAAACCCGCCAGCCCCATACCCCATATCTCGCTGTGAGCCAACAAGCAAAGGAGAGGAGAGCGGCACTTCCTCTACGACTCCCCGGGTGACTGTCCGCTCGGTGTTCTGAACCTGGTAGCCGTGATATCATCTGAGGTTTGGGTAGGGAACATTCCGGCTAAATACAATCGAATGTCATTGGTGAAAAACATTAGGGTTGCAAGATCCCGTGTAGCGCTCGTCCTTTGGTATTGCCGCTGCTTATAACGTCGGAAGTCGAGTATTAAGGCTGAACAGGGCACAAGATTTTGATATCTCAAGAAAGGCACCTGCCTTTTTTCCCCCTAAAATTGACTGACTCGAAAGTAGCAATGGAAGGCAGAAAGTTCCGGCATCTGACTTCTGAGCAAGTCGACTGTTTCATGAAGTATGGTTATCTGCGCATTCCAGGCTGTTTCACTCGCGAAGCTGCTGAGGAATGGACAAAGGATGTCTGGGTGAGGCTGGGCTTTGACCCTAAAAACCCCGACACCTGGACGACCGAAAGGACCAACATGCCGGGTCACGGAGAAGTATTGGTCAAGGATTTCGCGCCCAAAGCATACGACGCCATCTGCGAGCTAGTCGGGGGGGAAGAACGCATCACGGAGGAATCCAAGTCGTGGAGGGACAGTTTCATCGTGAACCTGGGAACAAAAGAGCACGAGGGCAAGGAAGCACATCCCAAAGAGTTACCCGGGTGGCATGTGGATGGTGACTTCTTTGTACATTTCCTAGATTCTCCAGAGCAGGGTCTGCTTGTCATCCCTCTATTCACAGATATTCTGCCCAACGGCGGCGGAACCTGGATTTGCTCCGAAGGGATTCCCAGGATAGGGAAGTGGCTTTATGACCATCCCAAGGGCGTCCTTCCACGAATGACGCCAATCGGAGCGACGGAGAATTTCGAAGACGGCCTGGAGTTCTACAACAATCTCGTACAGGGCTGCGATGACACCTCTTTCCACGAGATGACAGGTTCGGTTGGCGATGTCATCCTGCTGCATCCCCTGATGCTACACTCGGCTTCCAAGAACGGACGCCGCTTACCCCGGATCATCACCAACCCGCCGGTCTCGCTGGTCCAGCCCTTCGAGTTCGACCGCGAGGACGAGAGCCAATACAGTCTTGTCGAGCTCAAGACGATCAAGGAGCTCGGAGGACAAGACAAGCTGCGAGGGTGGAAAATTCAAGGGAAGAGGGACGCTGTCGTGCCGGAGCGAGTGAGGCGTCAAGCCAGGATGCTGGAGGAAGAGAAGAGAAGACTCAAAGAGCGCGAATTGCAGAGTCAGACACCACAGGCCGTTGCTGTTGCATAGATTTCATATCTGTATTCCTTTGGTGGCTGGGCAGTAGAAATATACGGACACAGATGTTCGAGGAGCCCATCTGTGGGCATCATTTCGTCCATACCTGTGTCAGATCTATTCCATCTTGTAGATGTGTAGTCGTTGGCAATAGAGAATGGACTGCTGCTCGTGATTACCAGCACGGCAAAAGATGCCCGTTGATCCACTGATTCGCCGTGGAGACGTTGTCTAGTCCATGCGTGACTTCGCTCCGCAGTCCGCATCTCCAACATTTCACTTCTGATATCGACCAGCAGCCACATCTCACAACCCCTGGCCAGCCCAAGTCTCAAGAACCTATTCTGCCATGCACCAACCTTCATAGAACTGCTGATTGTACAGCATGCCCGCGCTGGGCCGCCACGGCAGAAACGCATCTGCACCGCCGCCCATATGTCCCTAAAACCACCCCTCCTCGCCGTCCCGTCACGGCACCACCAACAACCACGAGACGACCAGCAGCAGCAGGATCAGGAAGACTACGACTATGAGATCACGATCCGCTTCTCCGCGTCCCTGCCGGACCTGCTCCTGTCAATTCCCGCCTCCCTCAATGCCAACACGGCCACGCTGAAGCAGCTGATCCGGTCGCGCATCCCTGACGCCTACGCCAAACACCGCATCCGGCTGATCCACGCGGGCAAGGCCCTCGTCGACGATGTCCCGCTTGCGGCGTCGCTGAAGAGGAACGTCTCCAGGCCGCCGAGTCGGATCGGCACGCCGGGTCCGTACGATGAGAGATCTAATGGCTCTGTCGCGGCCGGGAATTCTGGGGGTGACAGGAGACTGGAACTTGGAAACAAGGGCAAGCAACCCGTGCGGGATCCGCCGGCGCAGGCGAGAATCTACATACACTGCTCGATAGGCGACATTGTCCTCTCCGCTGCGGAGTTGGCAGCTGAAGCGGCGATTGCGGCATCCGCCAAAGCGAGCGAGGACCAAGATGAGGACACCAAAGCGGCCACGGACCCAGCGCAGCAGCAGCAGACGACAACGACGCCCGCGCCTCGCGGCTTCGACCGTCTCCTCAACGCCGGCTTCAGTGCCACCGAGGTACAGTCCCTCCGGCTCCAGTTCCTTGCGATCCAGGCCCACACGCACACGCCCGACACGATGCCGTCACCCAACACGCTGCGGAACATGGAAGACCGGTGGCTCGACAACTCCACGACGGGCGCGAACGCCGACCTGGGCACCGACACCGCAGCAGGCTCTGCCGCGGGGATCGGCGGCGACGACGACATCCAGGCCGGCGCCCTCGACGACATCATCTGGGGCACCGCCATGGGCTTCTTCTGGCCCGTCGGCTGTCTGGTGTGGGGGGTGCGTGAGGAGGGCATCTGGAGCCAGCGCCGCAAAATGGCCGTCATCGTGGGGTTTTTGTTGAACATTGGACTGGGCATTATCAGGTATACCGGTTGAAATTTTCATCTTGTTTTTTTGTAGGATCGAGGCGGGTCTCATGTATCACGAAAAGATCGACGTGTTTAGACATCTTGTCACCCTGGTAGAGCATACTGTACGAGGTATAATTTGTGGAAACCCGAAATGACACCCCCATTCGAGACTTTCCTCTGATCTGATACTAAGGGCTTCTATAACAAAGCGGCCCATCCAAACAGGAAACACCTTTTGAAACGCCTGCAACATCAATTCATATGCACAACAGTCTGGATAAAGCCCCATCCAGACTGTCCATTATCCACGGGTCGACTTCGTCCACTCGCTCAACAAGCTCAACCGCTCACTTGAACTTGCTATATATTACACCAATGATAAGCAGCACTAGCACTGTAATGATCGCGATGGTAATCACGCGGTTTGTAGCCATTCTGTTGGGATTCACCAAAATCAAAGCACATAATGTCAGCTCACACTCGGCTTAAGTCGCGTCGTCAAAAATGGAGAGAGATTCTTACCTGCGCGCCATCCCACGAAGCGTCTTCACACTTCGATCCACGTAGCCTTCGCTCTGCAATAGATTTCTGTGTGTGTTTTCAATCACATTCCTCTGTTGGTGTAGATCTGCCAGTGTGGACGCTCCAATCTGCTCCGTCTCGAGCGCTATCCGTTGTGACTCTCTTAACCGGTCGGAACTCCGTCCCAGCCGCTCTGTGCCCGAGAGGAGCTGCTGGCGTTGTTCAAGCTGCGCATCTCTGGGGCCTCCTTCTGGGTCGTCTGTGTACCTGTCGCCGAACAGTTGTTTCCGCTCGGATTCGGCGAGCGATTTCAGTTTCCGTGCCAGGGTGTCGATATCGGACTGGTGGTTGCGGAAGCGCGAGTTCACTTTGCTCCGCTGGGAGGTCGGGATGTTGGATTTCTCCAGGTTCATCTGGTCAAGCTACATTCGCAAGGACGTCAGAAGAGTCCAGCCCGCATCACTTTCCACAATAGCGGGAGGAGCGAAACATACCAACTCCTTGGCCTCATCAAGAGCCCTCTCCGCAGCTCGTATCGCAACCTTTCTCTCCTCCCCCGCGAGTTCGGGGATTTGGTCCAACTTCTGATTCACGTCTGCCTGGACGAGTTTCAACTCGGCTTCGTAGGTGCTAAAAAGCTCAGAGCCCGCATCGGTGTCGAGTGGGTTCGCCATTGTTGTGAGTTGCCGGCGAGGACCTGGAAACGAGTTGCAGTTCGAGGGTATAACTCAGGGACTAGTTGCAGGACTTTGTCAGAGGAGGCGGTTTGGAAGAGAGGGGATGGGCGAGGTTGGAAAATCGGCGTGCTAGGGAGGCCGTCCGCAGGCACGAGAGTAGTGTTCTGTCTTTCGGTGCCAGAGGTGAGAAGGATAATTCGGCGAGGCGGCGATATCAGATCGTGGAGTGTAACTGAGGACGTTACGGTAGTGCCTTGGGGATGTGTCCGCAGTTGACGTCGGCTAGAGGACAGACGCTCACAGCCCGGTCCTGTTTTGGAAATTCCCGACGCCGCTTTTGGCGCCTAGATTTCTCGAACTCTTATCGAAGTGCAGGCCGCCGTTGCTTCCGCCTAGCAACTCTCGGTGCTTCTTGCCGAACACTGACGACAAGGGGGCACCCTGTGCCTCTGCCAGCCTCCCTTATCTCGCTCGCTAGGAAGGAAGTCAGGAACTTGCACCCTCCAGCAATAGCCTAACTTAAATCTGTCCTCGAAGCTTCCCCATCTATTTCATGCTCCTTGAACATCCTTTCTTGCGCAATACTTTTGATGCCAAGTCAATCTTCAACTCTCTTCTCACTGGGGAACCACTGCGACATTTCATCCTCATACGTGATGATCGCATCCTCATATGCTAAGACGCCAGTTGAGTCCTCGCGGGCCAGGACTGCCCCGGTCAACGTTACCGTTTGTGGGCTATATTCAGGGGCTACAGCATTGTAAACAGCCACTGTTTCAACCCCCTGAGGCGTAGAAAGTTTACTTCGCATATTCTGAGGAATGCTACTGCAGTGCTAGCTTGTAAAAGGACATGTTTACCGAGTACGAGGTATTCCACGTGGAGTTAGAATCACTGCCAACCCCAACAACGCTCTTCTTTTTATCGTACGAGGTACATAATGCAACCTAGGACTTGCCCAGCAGGGTTCAATTGGGGCAAAAGCGCTTCACGTTTGTAATAGCGAGACGCCACATCAAGTCGAGCGCAAATACAGCGCTTATCTCAAACAATGGCGTGTGTGACCGGCCAACTCTTGCAGATACCGGGGTAAGTATTTGGTATGTACCTGGTTGCTGACATGGACTCTTTCGTGTGAGGTGTTAAGTAGATCAATCGTGTCTTCGAATCTTTCTGGACTCATCAGTCGCTGCGCCTTCACTACTCTGCCACAAGAAACATGCCAAAACTTGGCTTCAGCAGAAACGGTCGCCCCCTGAATGTTGCCGCAGCTAGAGATGAGATTGATAGAATCCGCAGAGATCGGGGTATCATCGACGAGTACGACGAAAGCCAGATTCGCAAGACAGATTCGAGCTTTCAAGAAGACTACCGTCGAAGAGCTGCCGAGCACAGAGCCTTATACGCCCGATATACTAGAACGTCGGTTTCTTCCCTCTGTTCAAAATCCTGGTTGCTAATAATAGCAGCGTCGCCGAGCAGCTCTACTCGACCAGATTCAGGCTTATTTACGAATTGCTCCAAAATGGAGACGACTCCTGTTACGCGAATGATGTCGAGCCCTCTATCACATTTCGGATCAAGTCCTCCGAGCTGATCATCGAGTCCAATGAGCGGGGATTCACACTCGAGAATGTTGAATCTATTTGCGATACTGGTAAAAGCTCCAAAGCCAAAAATGCCGATACTACTGGGGAGAAAGGCCTGGGTTTCAAATCGGTGTTCGGCATTGCTGACTACGTCCACATCGAATCCGGGCTCTGGTCTTTCAGGTTTGAACATAGTCAAGGCGAAGAGGGCGTAGGAATGATCACTCCAGTGTGGACTGATGTTACGTCTCGTCTACCTTCAAATGTCGGGACGAGGTTGACACTTCGGTACTCTGACCAGCGCGACATCTTCGCCAAACGCCTCGTGTCTGAGTTTGAAAAACTACCCAGAACAATCATGTTTGCGCTGCGCAAGCTGAAGAAGTTGATCGTCGTCGTGGATGGCGTTGCTGGACGATCAGACCAAATAACTTTCGAGAAAGATGGACGTTTGAGATCTAACGAAATACGCATCAACACCACCGTGACCGGGAATTTTGGTGCCCATACGTCAGCGACAACATGGCTCAAGCTGTTTCAACACACAGTCAGCGACCTCCCTTCTGACACATATCGTACAAGCTCTGAGAGCGATGTGACCGTCGCATTTGAGGTGGATTCAAATGGCCTGCCCGTCATTCCCGCCGACGGGCAGCATGTATTCGCTTATCTTCCAGTACAGCGGATTATGCAGCTCCCTGTATGTGTCTTTGACACCTTTCGCCGTACGAAGCTAACTGATCCAGTTTCTTATAAACGCGGATTTTGTCCTCACGGCTAATCGTGAGAGTGTTCCCGATACAGATTGGAATGATGCATTGCGAGACGGTGTCTCTTCTGCGTTTATCGGTTTGGTGAACAAAATTGTTACTTCTAGTGACCCTCTGGAGCTTACGTGGATGCGCTATCTCCCCCGGAGCCCTATGCAAGGCTTCTGGGAAGATTTGTTGTCTGACATTGAGAACGGGCTCCGGTCTAGGAAGAGACGCATTTTCCGGTCACGACGGAATAATCTTCGCAGCATGGAACGCATAAGAGTTCTTCCCCACTGGTTCATCCACGACAACGAGCCAATTGTGGCGGACACGGACGATGATATCTACTTATCGGACGATTATGAAACAATCGATGTAAGAATCCTGGAAGAATTTGGGGTGGCGGAAATCTTGCCTCGAGAAATTTTGGCGAGAATACAACTTGGTCTTTCACGAAGCGCGGAACGCCCAATACATGACATACCACTGGATGACTCGTGGCACACAGCCTTTGCTGCTCTCATACGACGGCTCCTTAACAGAAAAAGAATCAAGAAGAATGTTGAGGAGTTAAGAATCATCCCATTGGATGACAATGAATGGGTTTCACCCTCGTCCTTGCTTGTGGATCCTGTGTATCTACCATATCTGGTCGACGAAGACTCGGTGTCGATAAAGGTACCTGATGGTCTTGGGTTTCGGAAACTTCACGAGACGGCCACTGCAGATGGAAAGCGTGCGAGCTTCTACACAAGTCTCGGAATTACCTCGTGCGACCCTGATGCTGTAACAGCGAGGATCATCGAGACGCACCAGTTATTAAGGAGAACCGGAACGTTGTTCACGTTCAAAACAGATCTCGAAATCCTCTTTTGGTTTGGAAAGCGACCGTCCCTGTCAACGTGGAGTGAGATTCGTCTGATACTTGTGAGCGATAAAAACAAGCCACTTCCCGGATCGTACTTGTTCTTTCCTTCGGGAGACAACTATCACGCAGAGAAACTACTTGCTGCAACTCCGGAGGAGGATTTGCATGAATGTCGTTACGGAATTCTTGCTAGACAATACCTGGAATCTCAAGTTTCCAATCACATCCGCCATGGTTTAGACTGGAGATCCTACCTTCAGAGTTCGGGGGTCAGATACTTCCCTGATCTGGTACGCGAAGTGTCCGCTGGATGGAAACTCCATCCTTTGATGAAGCTGATCGCTCGAGACAACCCCAACAGCTTTGTCGCAAATCTCAAAGCACATTGGTCTGATTACCGTGTTGATGCCTCCAGAATCAAGAACAAACTGAAGAGTATTCGGGTACCATGTCTGGATGACTGCACACACAGGCTTTGCGACACTATTCTACCTACACAAGAATTGATGGATAGAAGCCGAGATCCCAGCCTAACCAATCTCTTACCATTCCTAAAACTACCTGGGGATTTTGACGCCCAACAATCCGAGGCTTGGTTCTTTTTGAAAGAACTT